GCATTACAGCATGAAGGAAATTGAAATATGAAAAGAGCTGGTTTTAGGAAACAACAGTTATGCTCATGTAACAAGCATGGGGCTAAAGGAAGATAAATGGGAGATGAAGTTGAAACGGTAAGTTAAAGCCTGATAATGGAAGGTATTGACTGCTATTCCCAGATGGTTTGATTTGATCCTGAAAGCAATGAGGAGACGCTGAAGGCTTTTTGAGCAAGATGACATGATCAGTTTCAGGAGTTACAATATATAGGATTATTTAGAGAGGAGAAAGACTTCATATTATTTCATAATATGAAAATATTAGAGGGAGCATATGGTTGGGGTGAAAAGACAACTGGTTATGTTTTCAACCCAATGTTGGCAGCACAGTTAAGGGGATAGACTGTGGGGTCTATGGACTGAAAATGTGGGTCTGCAATTTAGGAGAGAGAAACACATGGGAAGGTTGGGGCCCGTCTTTGGGCTGATATACCAAGAAATTGGGGCTGGCATATCTGGAACCAAGGTGGCCTTTTTTTTTTTTTCCTTTACTTTACTTCCCCTTTGTTTGGGTCAGGGGGCTGGGAGTTTGGTTATATACCGAGTTAATTGAGCAAATAAATACATTGAGAATAATGGGAAAGAAGGAGGCAAGAATAAACCTTGAGGAATTGGTTTGGAATTATAAGTGAATTCATGGTACTTAATATATAGAGAGATGGAGAAATAGAGATAGATGTGTGTGTGTGTACATATGCATACACATTTTTAATTCTGCTGATAGGATCTAGGAGCAGTGACACCCTAGTAGCAATGAGCACACCTAGCACCAGCACCTAGATCTTGGTTTCTAAGTCCCATTCTTCACTGAAAGAAATTGGGGCTCCTTGGAGAAATTACTAGTTCCCATAATGGGGAAGGGAAACTATAAGATGAACCTGGAACATTGTCTTACACCAGAAAATGAGAAAGTGCTCAAAGAATGATGGGTGCATCAAAAGAAGACAGGAGCTAGCTTGAAGGAGTTCCCAGGTCTGGTGAAATAATGGTAGTAACACATTGAAATACTTTGAGTAAAGTGGTCCACAAGCTTATACTGATATGTGTTAATAAAAGGACAAAAGGAAATATTCTGCTCTATGGGAGAGTGCTAGTCAGTAAGTCTAGAGAGAATGATGGAATTAGAAGAATCACCAATTTGCAACCATTATTATTATCATGAGGTACTGGAGATTGAACCCAAGACCTCATGCATGCTAAGCACACACTCTACCACTGAGCTAGACCCTCCCCCCAAAATTCTTGTCTCTCTTTTCTATGATTGTTCATGTTCATACTTTAATTGGGAATCTTTACCAATTATGTGTGTGGTTTGTTTTTTTGGGAGGGGGTATTTAAGTTTATTATTTTTTTAAATAGAGATGCTAGAGATTGAACCCAGGACCTTATGCATGCTAAGCATA